CCTCAGGTGCCCTCCCCAGCAGCCGCAACACCCAGCCTTTGAAACCCTGCTTCCCTCATCTGGTCTGGATTCCTTTGCAAAAACTCATGAAACTAGAACTTGCAGAGTCCTTCACAGCCCGAAGTGCCTGAAGAACCCTTTTAATGAGATTTTTCATCCCTTTCCCACACTGCCTGCTTTTCCAGAGACAGGAAACTGTGTTAAGAGTTTGATATGTTTTTTTGTCAACTTCTAAAGGCTCACTCTTTGCTTCCCTGAGGCCGAAGTGAGTGCACCCAGGGGCCAGCGCTGGGTGTCGGGGCCATATGTGTGCTGGCCTGAATAGTTCTGAGACCAGGACCCTGCCGCCTGTCCGTCCGGCTGGGCCAGGGAAGAGATCTCTGCAGGCAGGAGGGGCAGGGGTAGCATTCAAAGGCAACCAGGCGGGAGCTCTGTAAGGCGGCTTCACAGGTGGAGACGTCTGCCATGGAGGGTTCTGGTAAGCAGTGGGGCGGGTGTGCAAGTGCCACCTTGGAACGCCAGGGCTGCAGGGAGGCTTTGAGGCACACAGTCAGATGGGGAGGGGGCAGGGATCTGTCTGGTCCCCACAGTGAGAAGCAGCCACCATCTCTAATGTCAGTGTGGCCAACTGCCACCTGGCAGCCTTAGGCCAATCACGAGTCCCCTCTGGGGCTCAGTCTCCCCATCTGTACAGCACATGGATGGACTAGAGGGTTTGACATCTGAGCACCTTCTGACTGAATGTCAGGAGAGCTTGAGAAGTGGTGGGAAGACACTGGACTGGGAGGCCAACGGCCTCTGTCTGCCCCAGCCTTGGCTCCACTGTAGACCTTGGGCAGGTCATTCAGTTTCCACTACCCCAAGAAGGGGAAGAGGGTGGCAATCCCTGTTCTTGTCACCCTGTGAGACTGTCCTAGGCCACACGTGTAAACTGTAAAGTGAAGTGGATATGCAGGGAGGGACGGCAAGTGCAAGTGAGGGTCAAGCATAGGCTGGGTGACCCAGGATAGGACCTCTGCCAGTGGACCCTACACTTCAGGGGCCCCCATCACTCAGAACTGAGTCACACAAGAACTGCCAAGACTCTCCCACATTTTGCTGTCTTTGCCTGCCCCTCCCCCACCCCCACCTCGAGACGGCCCTGGCAGCAGTCTCTACCTAGGGACTCTCTCCTTACTTTAAGTTCCAGGCGCACCTACTCCCTGCAGCTTCTCCTGACCCTTCATGGCAGGGGCCGCCCACCCACGCATCAACTCTGGGCCTCGAAGAATCACTCTCGTATGCCCAGCCCACGGCCTGGTACAGAGGGCTCTGAGAAATACCTGCTGAAGGAAGGGCAGAAGGGTGGAGGACCCCGCTCTCTGAGGCTGACTCCCCCAGCCCCCTTCCCCACCCTAGAACACCTCACAGCAGGGCCTTGGAGCCCCAAGGGTCACATGAAAACAGCCAGAGGCAGAGCAGCAGCATAGCTGGAATTCCAATGTCAATTCGCACCAGGCAGCACCGTGCATGGGGAATGCCAGCCCCACCCTCCAGATGGCGGCTGGCAAAACTGGGGCTGACCTAGGCAAATGGGACACTCAGGGCCGCTCCATTTGTGGTCGATACCAGGGTGCTGCTCCCTGGCTGCCAACGGGACTGGTCGGCAGGAACAGGGCTGCGGGGAGGCAAGCCCACCTCCCCTCAGCAGCCTGCCCCCAGCCCCAAGACGGCCCAGCCCACCTCCCCAGGTTTGGGCGTTTTCAAGGGAAAGCTGACTGGGTGAGGCTACCCCTCTGGATTTGGAGGGGGGCACTCTAATGGCTCTGGACAAGTATGCAAAACTAAACTCTCCACTCCCAGCTCCCAAGGGTGAGGCCAGCACCCAAAGTCTCATTCCTGATAATGAGGAAGGGCAGAAGGGTGGAGAACCCTGCTCTCTGAGGCTGACTCCCCCAGGCCCCTTCTCTACCCTAGAACACCTCACAGCAGGGGCCTGCAGCTCCAAGGTTCACACCGACAATGGCTGATACGACGGTGCAGGGAGTGAAAACCAGGGCCTAATGGCAAAGTGTTTTCACCCAGGGTCCTGGCAAAGGCCCTGGGGTGGTTTCCTGCAGTCTCCCTCCCCTCCTCCCCTGGACTGGGAACACTCCGAGGACAAAGGGATGGCTGAGCCCACCAACGGGGGCAACTCAATGTCAGAGGCTGAGGCATCTTTAGTGACCTTAGTTACCACCAATTCCAACCCGTCCTGGGCAGATGTGGACGCTGAGGCCAAGATCACACAGTGAGCAGGAGTGGCAATGAGTCCTTTCTGTGGCTTACACTCGGCTTTCAATCATATTGCAGGGCCAACCCAGGAGATGAGGGGCAGGGTGGGAATACACAGTGACGTTCACGCTGCTATGGTCAGGCTGTGGACACTTCCTGATGGCAGAGTGATCATTTGTCATCCCAGTGCACAGATGAGGACACTGAGGCTCCAAATGGTGAAGCGATGAGTCCAGGCCACAAGCCCAGTGAGTAGGATCAGGCATGACCCCACGGTCTCTACCATCTTCAACCAGGATGTCTGGGCCTCCAGCTGCATGCCTATCACTATAAGGACAGAACCAAGGTGCTGTCTATCCCCCACGGTGGTCCTACTATCTAGGGAATGGCACAAACCAGGGATGAAGAGGGAGCTCCACTCTCCGGAAAGCGACAGAAACGTTCTCTTGGAGACCCATTCATGGGGTTGCAACTGCGAGCACTTGGCACAGGGGACTGAGAAGGGATCCTGCAGGGTATCTTGGCATGGCTCCTTCTATAACTGCTTTGTGACTCCTTCTGCGCCCCTTCGTTGGAACCTCAGCTCCGGCATGCCCGAGCACTCAGCAGGCTGCCCCCCTGTAGGCAGAGCTGTGCTGGAGTCACCACGGGGCCTCACAGCACTTCCCCTGGGAATGGACAGGAAGCTTAAGCAGCCAACAGGGCCCTGGCCCTCATGGAATGCCAGGCTTGGAATGGGGTACACTGTCCCCCCTCCTCTGTGTATTCGGTCTTGTCACAGAGGCCCTGCTGGGCCAGGCCCCAGACCCTGGGACTTCCTGGAGAGAAGAGAGTTGCAATCCAGCCTGACGAGTGCCCTGGAGTGTCTCTAGAGAGCTGAGGAGGCCCAGGTGGTGGGCAGGCTGCCTCTGTCTGTGGGGAAAGGCTGGTGACATGGGAGCCCGCCTCTGATGCCACCTACTTCCTTTACCTCTCTCAGCCCAGAACAGAGCATTTCACCTTGACACAGAAAATAGAAATCAGAAAGCGTCTCTCATTGGCACCTGGGTTGCAAGGTAATCTCTGAGCAGCGACGGGGGCAGAGGGGCTGCGTGGAGCAGCAAGAAGGCAAGGACCCCACCACCCCCATCAGCATGGCCAGTGGCATGCACCTCTTCCCCTCTGCTTAATCCAATTACACTCTGCTGGCTTTGGCTGCCTCCAGCCCAGCCTCCTGCCTGAGCTGTGGCTTAGCATATTGAATTTCCTTCAGCTTTGATAACCGACCTGCTTCTTTAACCCATCAGATCTGATGGTGGACAGTGAAGGAGGCAGCTGCTAACAGCTCTGAGAACAGTAGCATTCCTGCTTGCTTGTGTCCTGAGTGCCTTCCCAGCCAGTTACATCCTCCCTCAGGAGGTGGTCGTCCAACCTCTGGTTGCACACCTCCAGTGATGAGAAGCTCACTACCTCTTGAGGCAGCTCCTCTAATTCTTGGACAGCTCTAATTGTTAGAAAATTTCCTTCTCACTGAGCTAGAATCTGCCTGGGGACCCCCAGCCACGTCTGTTCCCTCTGTCCCTAGAAAGTCCCTAAGAAATGTGTGGTCTGCCATGTCTCTGAACACCCTCCCTTCTCCAGGTACCTCTGTGTCGGCCTGGCCTCTGCCCCATCCTTGCTACCCTCCCCCATGCTTGCATTGTGTCACTGTCCCCCTCTAGGTAGAGCCCAGAAGCGGGCTGGGGTCACTTTTGAGCAGAGACAGCAGGCCAACCTCACCATCCTTGGCTACACTGACCCCACTGTCCACACAGAAGGCATGTTTATGGGCCCTTCTGACAGCCACGCTCCAGCAGGCTCTCTTTCCCCTCATGTGGCCTCTGAGAGTGGTGAGTAGAACAGAAAGCAAGCCAGGAAGAGGGTGCCACTGTTCCTGGTGGTCTGTGCTGGCTGGAGGGCCTGGGCTTATCCCTCTAATTCTGTCACCAACTTTGTGTCCTTGGGAGATCCCTTCTCTCTCCCAGCCTCAGCTTTCCTATCTGTAAAATGGGTTTTAGACCATTTCTTGGGTTCCATTCAGTAACAGCACTAAAGATGAAGCACTCAACCAAACACTTTTCTAATTCTGGGCCTGCCCATCTTGACAGCAGTGCCTTGTGGGTCAGAAAGACCTGACAGCTAACAAAGTAGCCACAGGTACATCAGCAGGGACCTTCCCAATTTTACCCTGTGTTCTTCACAATCTTTGTGACATCAGACCTGCCCAAACAGCAAGTGAGTGCCTAAGAAGGCCAGCCTCACAACGGCAGTGTAGCACAGCGGACAGTGGAACAGCTGGCCTCCAGTCCTGCCCTGCCACTTGGGCCAGCCATCTGACCTCAGGCCAGCCACATCCCCTCTCTGAGCCTCAGTTTCCTCATCTGCAAAGTAGAGATAAAATATTCCGCATCAGAGGATTCTGAGAGGGATGGGGTCTACTAAGCACTTTACAATCCCTGACTCGCAGCAGACATGAAAGCTATTCTTGGTTATTTAATATAAATCCTAGGGAAAAGCTCCTCCTCTTCTGGGCAGGCAGAAACGGCAACCATAAAAACTCCTCTAGATCCCAGGAGAGTAAGATCTAATTGAAAAACCGAGGCTTGAAATAACTTGCGCTGGCAAGTTTCCCGGGGGGACACTGGCGGGTCTTTCCGCCACAGACACAATGGCCGGGTGGCACTCCATCTGAGGCTGCCGCGGCGGGCTGGGGCACGCGCTGTACTCACTTCAGGGAGAGGGAGTAATCGTGCTTGCTGGTCTGGCTGTTCCGCACCAGGTAGCTGCACTCCTTGCAGAGTCGCAGCAGGCTCTCAGCATCGCCCCTGCTGATGGCTCCGTGATACCATCTGCGGAGAAGGCAGAGAGGGGTCAGCACCCAGTGGGGAGAGCGCTCCCATAGCCCTGACACCCTGAGGTCCGCTCCTCCCAGAGGGAGGCTCGACACCCCCGAGGGCAGCTGCCGGTGTGTCTCGGGCTTCTTTGTTACAAGGCAGACGTTGTTTTGTCCAACAGAGATTTACAGAGTGCCTGCCGCATGCCAGATCCTGGGGAGAAAACACTGAACAAAACCTACAGTCTCCACCCCCACGAAGGTTACACTCTAGTGCAGTGAGACAGATAGTAACCCCGTAGTCCCTTACGTGATGATAGGTGCTACGGAGGAAAACAAAGCAGGTTTCCTATCGGTAAAATGGGTTTCACGGTGGTTGGGAGCTTGCGGTGGGGATTGCACTGTGAGCAGCGGGAGTGGTACAGGATGAAGGCGCAGTAGGAGGTGCGGTGCGTTTATCTGGTGGCTGTGGGCCAAGGGAAGATGTTTGGATCTTATTCTAAACATAACGGAAGGCGATGATGAGTTTGAAATAAAGATGTTACTTGCTCAGGATGATCTACAAAAGATCAACCAGGATGCCCTGAAGGGAAGCAGCCAGGGAAGCCTTCCGGAAAAGTGACATTTGAGTATGGACCTGGAGGATGCAAGAGAGGAAGTCACGTAGGAAAGCACATGGAAAGGAACATTTCTGGCCAAGGGAAAGGAAGCACGTGCAAAGGCCCTGAGGCAGGAGCATACCTGGTGTGCTTTTGGAAAGGGCTAGGCCAGTGTGGCTGGAGTGAGCAGCAAGTGGGGGGTGGGTGGGAGGTGAGGCCCAAGAGGCTACAGGGAGGGGCCAGTAAGGATCTGGCTTTCTCCGTTTGAGTGAGCTGGGAAGCCATCAGAGGGTACTGGCAGTAGGGACACGCTCTGACTTTCTGTGACATCTGTGGGGCAAGTGGGCAGTGCCCAGGACTCAGGACATCAGGTAGTTGGTGTGGGATGGCAGCACCATGCTCCTGAATTGGCATCGATCAGGCACAGAGGAATGCCAGTGTTGCTGCTTCTGGACAAAAGGGCCCAATGGGAGCCTGGGCAAGGGAAGCCCAACCCAGCCACCGCTCCCAACCCCAGGACCCAATGGGAACACTGATTTTTTAGATTAGAAAAGTAGGAAGCAGAATTTCAGTGAAATAGTAGCGACCATCCCATGCTGGTTGTCAGCGGGCCTGTACATGATGCACATCTGTCTGCATTCTGGTCTCAGACAGGAAGGATCAGTGATGTGGTGGGAGACAGAGCCAGGAAGAGAAGCAGAGGCGGCGGGTGGCGCGGCTTCACTCGGACAGGCCCAGACAGGGCTCTGGGACAAAATGCTGAACCTGGCTGAGTGGTTCTCTATTGAGTTAGGATTGCTCCAGCCTTTTCTTGGGGTTGTGGGGATTAAATGAGATGACACATGGGATGAGCTTACGCAGAGCCTGTATGGGGTGAGTTTCAACAAAGGCAGCTACGACCATCAGCAGAAAGAGACTGAACTGGCAGACAGCCACGCAACACCACCACCATCTTATAATTACTGCAGGCCCCTGCCCGCCACAGAGGCTGGGTTTTAAATTTTTAGGTGTGAGTGGGGATGCTGCCTCCTGTACCTGCCCAGAAGTGCCCTTCACAGAACCTCTACAAGTTCTGTCACAGAGAGCCTGCTTAGAGAACAAGGGTGCTCCGCCTTCACTGTGCACTGCCTGCCATTCACAGGCAGCATATGGAACAGAGTAGCAGCACAATGATGACATAATTAAGACCCCACTGCTGTCGAGTCAATTCCGACTCATAGAGACCCTAAATGATGGAGTAGAACTGCCCACACGGGGTTTCCTAGGCTGTGATCTTTATGGAAGCAGACTGCCACGTCTTTCTCCCACAGAGCAGCTGGTGGGTTTGAACCACCGACTTCTCAGTTAGCGGCTGAGCACTTAACCACTGTGCCACTAGGGATCCTTGATGACATAGTTATAGCCTAAAAAAACAAACAAACCCAGCTTTAGAAAAATGAAGGCTGGACAAGAATCTGAGTGTCCCTGTGGGTAGCACTGACTCCTGCCCAATGAGAATGTGACTCAGCTGCTGACCGCCTGGGAAGTGACCACTCAAGAGTGTGGTCTGCGTGGTCCACAGAGCTGGACACCTGGATGCCTGTGGGGAAATGCACCAATGGCAAAGGCAGGAGAGATGCAGACCACAGACCTGCCTCGTTTCTAAATTTACGTAGACATAAAGAGGAACATGACTTTGGGAGATGCATGGGCTGCTATGTAATTAAAACATTGCAGAGACATGAAAGCCCAAGAGATGCTTTAGAAAGGATACAGTACTGCAACTGGGAGAGCTGGACAAAGACAGCAGACTTTAGAAATAAGAGCTTTGGTAAAGCCGTTCTCCAGGAAATTTCACCTGCATGACACACCTCCAGTGAGCTGGCAAAAATGCTGTTTTATAAGGAAAACAAGTTCAGCCATTTGAAGCAGAGCCGTCCTCAGGGAAAGGCCCAGAAGTGGTCTCCAGGGGAAGTGCTGCTTGCCGCCTGCCCTGCCCCGAGCACAGCAGCAAATCTAGGGAAGGCGGTGGTGGGCGGGCCTCCTGGGGCCTTGTTAAGCATAATCCCTGGTGGGTAAACAGGATAAGCTGCTGGTTCCTTCCTCAGCTACTATGGTACCCCACACAGAGAGAAGGGCCAGGGACTTGGGGGTCTCAGGATCAAAGGAGAACCAAACAGAGGGGGCAGAGAAGGGCAAAGGGCACTGGATCAGGTCAGCTGTCAGTGGGAGGCTGGAGACCAGGAGGCAGGCTGGGCTTGGGTGGCCCTGTGGGGGTTAGGCTCCGCCCAGACTGAGAAGGGAGCCCAGATGGGAGGCCGCCATGAGGAAGTGCTGGACCTCGTGGAGCTGGCCGGTCAGGTCAGAACCAGGGGCTCAAGAAGACTCGACCACTGTCATCCGTCCTATCCAATACCCACTGGCTCAGTCAATATTTACTATATCCTTGATCTCATGGGGCTGACGTGGAGAGATGGACAGTCAGCAAATAGATTCAGGAAACAATTTCTGATAGTGGTAAGTACTGTGCAGGAATAGAGGGTTGGTGATAAGGCAGTGACTAGGGTGGGAGGAAGGAGCCCTGGTGGAGAAATGGTTAAGCGCTCAGCTGCTAACCAAAAGTCGGCAATTCGAACCCACCAGCTGCTCCATGGAAGAAAGATGTGGCATTTTGTTTCCATAAAGACTACAGCTTTGGAAACTCTATGGTGCAGTTCTACTCTGTCCTATAGGATCACTGTGAGTTGGAGCCGACTCCATGACAAGAGGTTTTGGGTTTAGGGTGGGAGGACGTGCCTACTTTAGGAGGAACGGAGCGGGAGGTCTCTGGGGAGATGACATTTAACCTGAGACCTTCATGATGAGAAAGAGCCAATCATGTGAACAACCAAAGAAAAAGCGTTTCTGCAGAGGAAATAGCAAGTACAAAGGTCCTGGGGTAGGAATGAGCCTGGGTTGTTTACGAAACAGAAAGCTGGCAAGAATGGCTTGAGCACTGTCGCGGGGGGGAATGGTATATAGCATGAGGGTGGAGTAGGAGGCAGAGTCTGGTTACCTGCGGCCTGTGGGAAGATGGCTGTATTTTGGAAGAGAACCAGCAGAATCTGGTAATGCATTAGATACTGGGTGTGAGGCAAAAAAGGGAAATTGAGCAACTAGACAGCCGTAATACTGTTTATGGAGTTGGGGAAGCTGGGGGAGTAGCAGATTTAGAGGAGATCAGGAGCCCGGTAAGAGTGAGATGCCCATCCCTTAGCCAAGCGGAGATGCCAAGAAGCAGCTGGATGTAGGAGTGGGGGCTCTTGGAGAAGTGTAGGTTGGGGAGATGTGCTTGTTAATCATCTACCAGGAGACTGAAGAGGCGACCCAGGGAGAGCACGTAGTTGGAAATGGAGTCCTGGGAAGTCCAAGCTCAGGTCAAGCAGGGGTGGAGGAGCCAGCACAGGAGCAGATGGGGAGGCAGGAGAAAAACTGGAGCGAGGGCATTCAAATGTGCCGCCTGCCACCAGGGCAGAGGAGGCTACCTGGAGTCCCGGGCAGAGAAGGGGAGCAGGTGTGGTGGGTGAGGAGAGAGTGGGAGGTGAGGGAGGGCAGAGAGGAAGGCCAACAGCTCATGGAAGCCTTGTTCATTCACCTGATAGCTATTTATCGAGCACCTATTATGTGCCAGGTGCTGTTCCAGAACTGGGGATACAGTGATGATCCAGACATGTTCCTGTCCTCATGGAGCTTATGTTCTCAAAGGGGCCCCAGCCAGAGCTAGGGGAGGCTGGGGTGAGATGATTTTATTTACTCATTTACTTTTAAGACAACAGTGATTAGCACTTGTTTGCACACTGATGGGAATGAGGATGAAGGATGGAGGGGGTGATAGGCTGCCTCCGGGTGGCAGCGGGAGGTACCTGAGCACCTGAGCAGCCCATGTACCATCCGAGTAGGGAAGGTAAGTGGTACGGGCACACAAGCAGATGTGACTTCCAATCCCCAACAAACCCCTAAGAATGGAGCATATCTTACAGTGCTGCAGGCTCCCACCTTCTCTGCACTAGGGTGGAGTAGCTAGGACTAGAAGGGGCCTCCTAAACGCTGAAGCATCATCAGCCTGGGTGGCGGCCTAGGTGATCCTCTCTACCTGGGCCAGCCGGCTCTACTGGAAGTGGATTTTATCTAATCACGCCTCTTGGATGATGAGTCAGGGCCTCTGGCAGGCAGGCCAGAATGATTCCAGGAGATGAGGAGATGGGGGGGGGGAAGCTGGTCCTGACTCTAGACTTGGCTGAGGGCCCTGTCAGGAGGGAACAGGAAAGGGAAAAGTGCCCTCAAGAGCCCCAACCCCTCAGGACTGAGGCCTGGCCTGGGGGTGGGGAGGGGGCTGGCTGGCTGAGCCCAGACCCAGCCATGCATGGACAGGATGCACGCTCTCAGGCATCTCTGCCTCATACTTTGTTGATGAAAAAGTACAGTTTGATCAGAAATAAGCAAAACCTGCCACCCAATCTGCATGGCTGTGAGAAGTGATTAACGCAACACCTGCTGGGAGCGCTCCCTGGCGCTCCGTACGGCAGGCTCAGGGCCCTCATGAAGGCGGGCGACTCAGCCTCTGTAGATCACACCACTTGCTTAAAAAGGGGGTGTGTAGCATCCTTCGGAAAGCCCTGGTTCCTACTCACGGAGACAGCATTTCCTGTGAGGGGATGCACTGCTGGGCCAGGACCAGAAGCCCTGGCCAGAGACCAATATAATACGTGATAGGGTGAGAAAGTCTCCCAAGGAACCGTGCATGATGTCGGCTCATCTCTCTGGCTTCATGAAGTGCCTGCTCTATGCCAGATGTTGTGCTAAGCGTGGGGATAAGAGAAGAGCAAGAGGCGAGGGAAAAATGGGAGCATGTGGGGTCTGCATCCGGAGTCTGCACTCTGAGCTGTGAGATCCTAGCCAAAGCTCTGTGCCTCTCTGAGCCCCAGTGTTCTCATCTATAAAATGGGTTGATTATAAGAAAATGATACACCTGAAGGTACCACCAGCACAACACCTGGTACCCGCTTACTCAGGTCCCTGGGCATAAAGAGCAGAAGCTCACTGTAGTCAAGACGTGGATGGTGAGGAGCTGACAAAGTAGTTTGGGGGCAGATTTAGAGCAAATGGCAGGCTATGGAGATTGAACTTGGTCCTAAAGGTGATGCGAAGCCACTGAAGGTTTCAGTGCTGTGCAGAGACCTAAACACTCTGAACCTGGCTGAGGGTGGAGGCGAGGAATTTTTAGGAGGTGATAGCCATGATGTGGGGGCGGGGGAGGTAAAGGGCCTCACCCAGCACAATGTGGGCGGGGGGCGTGGTGAGCGAGGTGGGAAAGAGGCAAGAGACTTTGTGGGCAGCATGGATGGGACTTGTCCACTGACTGGGCCCAAGCTCTGGGCAAAAGGGCTGAGGAAACCCAAAACAAAAGTGTACAGGCTTTGCCCAACTAAAATGCAGCAGATGTGGAGCAAAAACATTTCTCTAGCTGGAAAATAAATCAACCGGGAATAGGATTTAGTTTACACCTAGCTTTCTAAGAAATCACTTGCTGCATGATGAAAGCAGAAACAAGGATGTAACAGGAGGGGTGAGATGTATGGATGATTCTGCAGTCCCTGCTGTTGGCTGGCATCAGAAGAAAGGGAGGAAGTGTAATGTGGAGAGCAAAGGAATCAGAGATGTGAGTTCCAACCCCGGTTCTACCACTGACTTGTTGGTGACCCTGACCTTCTGAGCCTCAGCCTGCCCATCTGTCTGTACACGAGAGGGTCACTACATCTGTACATGAGGCTGAGGCCCCTTTAACTCTGTCATTCTCTGAGTCTGAATTTTTAAACCAAGAGAAACAGAATGAAGGAAACAGCAGAGACTGGATGAACTGCGAGGCCGAGCTTTGCTCTGTTAGAACTTACATCTGCTTCTCCAGGGGGACGGCAGGGTCCACTCTTTCTCCCAGGATCCCACAGAACTCGGGGCTCCCATGTTTGATGGGTTTGAAGCCCCCTCCGGGAGCACGAAGCTGGCGCCGCCGGTCCCGGGAAGGCGAGGGGGATGCTTGCCGCTTCTCGGTGCCGTTAAACTGGGCTGTGAGAGAGACAGCGAGACAGTATGCTTACCCGGAGCTCAGCCCAGGGGTTACCAGGAGGTGCATGGTAGGGGTTCACCTGTTCTAGTCGGGGCTTTACAATTCAGGAGGCTGTTTCAGGCAATGGAAAAAACATGGCTCCAAAGATTGTGGCCTCCTGCTTAGTGAAGAGGGAGGGACGGGATGAACTGTAAGTCACTGTCACCTTTGACATCCCATGGCTCCAGTGGCACAATGTGAGATTGAGGATTTCTGCCAATATAAAATCCACAGCAAACCTCCTGCCACAGGAGGTGAGACGAGATGCATGAAGCACAGAACGTTGACCGGGGAGGAACCCAAGTGCTTCAGCACAACCTACAAGGCTCTTCAGGATCTACCTTGGCTCCCTGGCCAGCTCCCTTCATGCCTCCACTGCACCCCACACTCAATTTCTTGCAACTCCCCAGAGGCAGCTGGCTCTGAATGAGACTTTCCCTTGCACAGGCCCTGTGCTCTACCTGAACTGCCATGACACCCCTCTCTCTAACCAAAGTCTCCATCTGACTGATTTCACTTGCCCTTCAGGGGTCACCTCCTCCAGGAAGCCCCCCCCCCGACTACACCTCCTCCCCAGACTCACCTTGATCTCAGGCCATAGTACCCTAATGGTACCCACATTCCTTGTCTGGCTCCCGTTAGACTGGAGCACCCTGAGGGCAGGGGCTGCACCATATTTGCCCCTGTCCCCTGTGCCTAGTACAGTGCCTGCAACATAATGGGTGCTCAATGAAATCTTGAAACAAGAAACTTAATGAGCTGCTATTTTGCTTTTTCAGGAGAAAAAATATCAGTTTTCATACCAGATAAACTGGATAAAACTTAATAACATCCTAGTCAACACTGTAATTCCCCACTGAATTAATTTATACACTCACTTGCAAGCTTAATAATATAGCTATGTATTTAAGAGAGAACAGGTGGTGATGAGTGACAGGCTTAATCAGGCAAATCATTTCACCTAAAATGAAAATATACAAACTCCTAGTGCCATGATTCAGCAGCAAAAAAAAAAAAAAAGCTCCAAACACAACTGCTTTCATTCCTTCTAATTAAGTTTCTCCTTAATCTGCAATTTAAAATGGCAATACTTTTAATTTAGTGATTTTTCTGCAAAAGATAAAGACACAATTCCTCAAAAGAATATCTGCATTTAGAGGGAAAAAAAATGCCACCCCTGTGAGTCGTTAGAATGACAGAACCTAATTAATTCCACCTATAGGCAATTAAAAATGGAACTTGGAATCCTGTATGAGGGAAGTGAGACTCAGAGCTGGGCAGGATGAGGCACCGGGAGCCCTTCTGACTCTGGTTCTGATGATGGGGACCAGGGAGCTACTGGTGGTGGGGGTGGTGACCCAGTTAAAGACCTCCAGGGTTTGGCCTACCAGCCACCTTGCAGCTCCAAAGCAGGTGAGGTGGCCCCTTCGTGATGTCCCAAATACCTTTCAAAAGGTTCTGGTGTGATGAAACGATTCATCCTTCAACACCCAGCTCAAGTGTTGTTCCCTCTAGTTCTGAAGCTGGCAGTCCTCTTTCTACTTGTATTACAAAAATTGACTGGCCCTGAAGCCCTGGTGGCATAGTGGTTAAGAGCCCAGCTGCTAACCAAAAGGTTGGCAGTTTGAATCCACCAGCCACCCCTTGGAAACCCTGTGGGGCAGTTCTACTCTGTCCTATAGGGTCGCTATGAGTTGGAATTGACTTAACCGCAACAGGTTTGGTTTTGGGTTTTTAGCCCTGAAGTCCAGTCCCTGCCAACGACAGAGACAACACCCCATGCTCTGCGTTACTCTCACCCTCACAATACCCCTGCATGTGGTAACGGAGGAGGAAATGGGGGTGTAGAGGGAGGGTAAGGAAGAACTCCTCCAGCGTCTCAAAGCTGAGTGCAGGGCTGAGGTGTGAGCCTAGCACTGGGGCTCCGACACCCGCCACTCTCAGGCCCTCCTTTCTCAGGCCAGAGCTGTGCCTCACTCAGAGGCGAACTTGCCCTCTGTAGAGCTGCCCCTGATCCCCCTGCTGAGAACCAACCTCTCCCTCTTCGCAGGGCTCATAGCACTTGGCACAACAGCTCTTGTAGCTGAATGGGCACCAGACCACTCTTCCCCAATCAGCCTGGGTGTTCTGTGTGGGCAGCGACTGGGATTGATTTTCTCTTTTCCCTCTCTAGTATCTTGTCTGCCCCAAACCTACTTCAGTACTTGGCATAGCCTTCTCTGACCCTCCCCTCATCTGGCATGCAGCTGGCTCAGTGAATGGTTGATGGACAGAAACAAGGTCAGGGAATGGAGGAAGTGAAGCAGCTCAGCATTAGAAAAAGGGCATGAACTTTGGAGTCAGGAAGATCTGGGTTTGAATCCTATCTCTGCCATTTACTGTATGACTTTGGGCAAGTATCTAAACCTCTCTGAGCCTAAGCTGCCTCATCTGTAAAAGGTGTTGGCAATACCTATACCTGAAGGGATTGTGGAGGTGGTTAGTAACAGATGATGGATCAAAGTCCATTTGGGCCCCTGTAAAATGGTGGTCCTCACCCTCCCCATCCACATGGTCATACATCCGTGCTCAGGACAATTCACGCTCATGTACCCAAAAATATAAAGTGCCTGGTATCAAAAACCACCTTCCTCTTCCCTGACCACTCCTGGAATTCCTGACTAGACTGGAAGCTCCAAGAGGACAGGACATTTTACTCTGTTTTGTTCAAGGCAGGATCCCCAATGCTTAGAACAGTGCCTGATACATAACAGGTGCTCAATATCTGTTGAACAAATGACTCTCCACCCAGCCCACCAGGACCATAAAACTTCCATTCATTAGTCAAGAAAGGAAACTTCGGAGCTAGACTCCTTCCTCAAATTATTTTAAAACCATTTTGAAAAATCACTTAACCTTTACTTGGTGCTTCCTGTTCTTGGGCAGGCACTGCGCTGAGGACCTCACGTGGCTGTTCTCTTCTAACCCTCACTGTGGCCCTACAAGGCAGGTGCTGTGACTGTCCACGTTTTCAAAACTTAGACCCAGCGTGGTCGAGTAATTTGACCACTAACTCAGGGTGTGGACAGTGACCCCAGGAGATAGAGATCATGCAGTGGGAACTGGAGGCGAGCCAAGGGGCCCATGGCCTTGGCCACAGGTGAGGCCTGCAATGCTCTCCAAGTTCAGACAGTCCAGCTACTGGCTTCACTAACATTCTGCCTCTTTCTGGCAGGTTTGGAGTCAAGACGTTCCCAGGTCTCTAGTATAGGACACAGACTTCTTTAAGCAGAGGCAAAGAGGATTAGAATGATTAAAAACAAGACATTGTATGTACAGAGTTTCAGTGTATGAAGAGGCTTCCTGGGCCCCTCCATGGATGCACCTGAAATAAATATGGGCCATGTCTGTAAGCCATATGGAGCTGAAGACGAGGAGCCTGGAGAATTCTCCAGACCCAGTGTTTGTTCATGGATGTCACATTATTCTGAAGAAACAAGGGCACAGAGAGCAGAATCAAGGTGTCAAAAGATTCCCCTTCCAAGCTATCCTTGGTACCTGATTCCTCCATATTGTCAACAGCCAGGCCGGGACTCTGGGCTGGAGAAAAGCTGGAGCAGGCCAGGGGTGGAGAGGTACAGAGGGGACTGCTACCCTGTGTGGTTGTGAACCCCCAGAAGGGCACCAGGAGGGGAGACTGTGCACTGCTTTGGGGAAGGGGGCTGGGCTACATGATCCTGAGAATCTATGAAAATGCCACCTTTCACAACAATGCATGAACACGTCTAGATGACAACTCTGTTCCCAGCAAGACGACCCTCTGCTGTTTCAGCTTTCAAAACATGCATACTACGTCATCTCATCTGATCCTCACAAGCACGCAAGATGAGCAGTATTCCCATTTTACTGAGGCCAGAGAGTGAAGCCCCCTTCTCCTTCCAGTTCAAGAGCAGGCCTCGATTTCCCTTTCTGTTCTGCCTGCCTGGTGAGTGCAAGCTCTCTTCTGTCAGGTTGTAAGGCAATATCCAGCTCAGCAAATGTTTGGTTTGCGTTTCCAGGATTGCCAACAAGAGGCCTCTGTGTTCACCTCAGAGACACACGCGGGCCCCAGGGCACTGAGCTGCCACCTGGTGTGGGAGGTGCCCGAGAACAGAGGTCCTCATTGTGAGGGGAGGCGGCTGGCGACTCCCCCGAGAAAGGTCACCGGGAAGGCTGTGAGGCAGGCGCTGGGCCGAAGCCCAGGTTCCAGGAACTCTGTCCACACGTGTACACCCAGGCCTGGGCTGGAAGGCGGGGCTGGCAGAAGAGCGTGTGGCTCTATGCTCCTATGTGTGCATCCCACATGGGGAACAGGGACACCACTGCCTGGTGCAAAGACCCTGCCCCAGGGGCTGCTGCTCAGCTACAGGAAACCTAAGGATAAATCCTGATGAAAATGACTCAATACTCTAAATGCAGAGGACTTACAACTGCCAAAGGAAGCCATCTGCACCTTCATGACTCATTTTACGGATGAGAAACCAGGGTCCAGAAAACAGACTGACTTGCATGAAGTCAACTGCTACACTTGAACTGGGACTTGAACCCAGCTCTCCTGGATCCTGGGGGCTTCTAACAAGTTCAGCCTAAGTCAGCCTACCATGTAATCCATTCTCAAAAATAACAGCAGTAACAGCAGCGATACCAAAACCCAACATCTACTGCACTTGTGCTGTGCCCTGACTCCCGGCCAAGCGCTGCACATGGATGACCTCATGGGGCTCTCCAAACAACTCAATGAGGCAGTGCCTATTACCATCCCCATGTTATGGACGAGGACACAAAAGCACAGATATGTGACGCAACTTGCTCCAGGTCACCCCCTAGCAAGCAGCAGCACAGGGACTTCAATCCAGACCTCATGCTCCGACACCTGGGTTCTTTTTTTTTTTTTTAACTGTGCTTTAAGTGAAAGTTTACAGTTCAAGTTAGTTTCTCATAC